GGTCATAAGTACGCATAACTAGAAACTAAACCTGCTGCCTTGAGGCGGCAAATAAAAAATCATGCAATATGAAGTGTAATTTGTAATTCGAAAAGCTAGTCATAGTTTGAAAAGGTCATTGAGACAAATCTAATGATGTATAATACAAGACTTCATCATGGGCGCTTTGCCCCGTGACACGCGTGGGCCCGTTGCCCCCACTAGGTATCATTTCAATTTATGTCGTGTCAACATTTTATTTTAAAAGCTAATAGTCTAAACTTGGTCTCAAAATTATCCCTATAAATATTACTTTGAAAAAATAATTCACAGTAATTTCAAAATCTTCATCTATAGTAATGGAAAAAAACTTTATTTAGCGGCAAAAAAATTTTTATCTAGACTAAAACAGTTATTCGCAAAGAACTTAATAACGCAGACATTTAGCAAAACGTAAATCCGTACACTTCATCCCAGTGAAACTGTCGACCGGCGGTAGAGAACACGGACCAATATCTGCCATACTTAGCGAGAAACCCGCTATGGGCCCGTGACCCGCAGTGGGCTCGCTGCCCCATGTTACCCTATATCATGAATTATGGTCATAGTGCATATTGAATATCTTGAGAAATGCAATCGAGATCGCATTACCGCATATTCCATTTCTACTGTAAGATATATTCATATACACTCACGACTCATTCTAAATAAGTTTTTTTTTAAGTTTTTCACTCGAAAGATATATTCTGTTTTCCTTTATTATGTAGTGTTTAGATCGAAAAATGCATAGATCAATGGCACGCCTACATTTACATTTCGATGCTTTCATGGAACTATAATCCATGAATGCGTGGCCAAACACGAGCCTCCAAACTAGTCCAAGTCACACTGAGTTGATTTCTGGCAACGCGTCAATAGCAAATTGACCAGAAAAAATGAACCAGCCTAGACTTATGGTGTGGAATGCAATCGATGAGTGATGACTGTACAGTTTTTGCGCACGAACGAAGCCGTGGAATCCCACCAGGCAAATGACGTTGAAACAACTGACAATAAGCGTTTATTCAATGATAAATACTCTAATTTAACGTTGATTCGGCGTCAAATGACTGGAAATTAATCAAGATAAAGTCGGGCTTTAGTTCCAAAGTTTGATAAAGACGAATATTTTAAAAGTTTTGCTTTTATTTTTAAAATATGAGAGAATTTTTCAGAGATATATAGGTTCAAGTTGATGTATACAATTAACAACCGGTCACATTACTAAATTCCCATTCAAACTTTCAGTGTTCGTGTAATAAACCCAGGACGTTGTTTACTTGTCATAATTTACAGTATGTAGTCATTATAAATTCATCTAATAGTTTATGCTCGATACGCGGTTAAATCTTCGTTAACTAATTCCTCAATAAAAAAACTTCGAATAAGGCTCATTCATAAAAAACTTTGAGACGAATAATTTACGAAATGCTGCAAGAAATGGAACGAAAACAAGAACTTTCTTATACAGCATACATTAGCCATAGTCAGGCTGATATAAATTAGTTGCGTTTCTTGAAGATTAATGAGCTACAATTGGCGGTTACAAAAGAAACTTCAATTTATTGCATCAAGCCTTAACTTTTTCGTCGATTGAGACGCAATGTAGGCCCGTTCCCGTAGTCAATATACTGAGCACTTGAAAAACTAATCGAGGATTTATCCACTATATCGGTGCACTTCCGTAGCCAATATACTGAGCGTTCAGAATAAACAATCGAGGATTGAACCGTATAGTGTTGCTGCGCTCCAATAGCAAATACACGGAGCGTTCAAAAGGCATAATCGAGGGTTAAGCCATAACAATGGTGCGCCATCGTAGCCAATAAACTGTGCGTTCAGAATAACTAATTGAAGATTAAGCCGCGTTCAGAATAACTTCTTGAAGATTAAGCTGAAATTTTGCAGCGCTCACATAGCAAATACGCTGAAGGCTCTAATAATATATCGGGAAGTGAAAACATAACATATCGGCTCCAAAATATCTGGAATGTTGGAGCTCTACCGTATCCATTACACTGAGCGTTCAGAATAATTAATTGAAAATTGAACCATACAATATTGGTGCACTCTCGTAGCCACTGAATGTTCAGAATGAGTAATCGAGAAATGAACCGCAATGTTTGCAATGAACCCAATATGCGTCTGACGTTGTTTCAACAAACTCAACTCGCAATCAATGCTTTTTCTCAACGTCAGCTACCTAGAGTGAAGTCAATACACTGAGCGTTCAGCGTTACTATTCGAGGATAGAGCCACAATGTTGGGATTTGCAATCGAGGCCGATATACCGAGTGTTCGTAATAATTAATCGAGGAAGTTTTAAGGAGCCTAGAGTTGGAATGACCACTCCTTGCAGTTCATTATCTTGAATAATCGTTAGTAACCTGGCCGCTAATGAACACTTAAGGCTTTTTCTAAGCTTCAGTACAGATTCCGTGCATCGTGATAGACAATTATTCCAAGGCAACGATGCAATAAATTTTCATCATCTTGGAAGTTTGGCTTTGTTTTCTATTTAGCAATTTGCGTCTTAACTATAAGTAAGGCCATTGACTGTTATCAATGCATATATCTGTCAACCAGGAAGTGTGATCGAGTAATTTATTATCCGCCAAGCTTCAGTTAACAATTTCATGCGTATATCGGATACGCATGAAACCAACCAACCAATCATTTTCTATTGATTGGCTGCAGATAATCTGTGTGCTGTTTTGAATTTAAAAAATTCTCAAGCAAAATATGTTCATGATTCTATCACATGGAATTGACACTAATGTCGAAATCATAGTTAAACATCTTTTTTTTTATTCATTAAGTGAGCTTTGTGATGGTATTGATTATTCTTTCAGCCTTTTTGTACGCATGGGTTCATTTTTTATGATATTAGTGATTGAATAAATTAATTATTCTATCAATTTAAGAAACATTAAATATCTCTAACTTTATTTTGCTTGCTCATCGACGCCAAAAGCCCCATAGAACAACAACTCTCGGGCGATTACCGGGCTACTAAATAACTTGATGACCAAGCAATCGCGTGACGAAATTTTCCGTCAATTTTATTCGTTCGAGGAACTGACCGAATAAATCAAGCGAATTTAATCATGAAATGGTTTCTCTAACCATAAAATATCTTGGCTTAATTCTTGTCTGAGAAAAAAATGAGTGAAATTAACTATATTAAGTATCAATGTAACAAATAGATTTCTGATAACTTTTGAATATATTGCAGAGACAACGAGTTCATGAGTTTGGATCTCTTAATAATTTATGAGATGATTTTTTTTTGTTTCTTGGGTAGTACCAAAATCTTGCAGAACGAAAATTTCACCGCAATTTAGTGAATAAGAAATATTCAATTCTAATAAATTACTATCCAGCCTCAACTTGTGAATCGTTTGTGATACTCTCATAAATTTGAGCGAATTCGTTACGTTTAAATAGCCCTGAACAAACGTTTCAAAATACATTACTTTAAAAACAATCGAAATGCATTCGTACAAAAAAAAAATAGAATCACGAGAAATAAAATTGAATGATAAGAACTTTAACGCATGCAATTAGAACCTCACGCTATCGACTAGTAATCGACTAGGCCACTCAAATTTAAAGCCATAAGCTGGCAAAACCGTTATTCAATTACTCATTGGTCGGAAAAAATTAATTGCCCGAATTGTCGAAAAAATGGAGTTTGTAAGAAATTAAGTGTTCGGGGCCCGCCAAAGAAATTTACTGAGATATTAGACATTAATTTTCAGGATTGACCTAAATTCTGAGGTGGATGACGAATTGAAGTACATCGCATGCAGACGTCCTGGTAAATTTTCACAGCACAAATCCGTAATCATGTAACAAGGTATTACGGATTAACAATCATATAGGCATTGTAAAACAGTATAAGTTTATTTCCAGATTTCAGTATAACGGAGATAATTTGTTATTGTATTTTAAATTTAAGGTTAGGTGAAATTTTAATTGAGTTAAAGAAAGGTTCAAATTTTAAATTTAACTGCATCTTTAAAATAAGTTAGACGGAGCTCGACAATCTCAGTCGATATAAAGTGATAAAGGCAGCAGTAACGAGAGTCTTTCATGACAGACTCTCGCTAATTCTCTCAAAAGACTTTAAAAAACCTCGAATGAAAAAAATATAACTACAATAACTGTATTTCGAACTTTTGTGATAAACAAGTGGTTTATCGCAACGATCCAAGTCAAAGCCTGTCAGGTACATGTTCCTAGTTCAGAGATAACGCGAAATTCGCGACCAAATTTCTGTTTATAAACTTCATATATGACAACTTAAATTAATATTACGTTTCAATAGGAGTCACAAACTTCATGGGTTTCATTGAAAAATAATAAAACTTAAAGTGAATCCTCTTTCGATTTGACGATCAACAGCTCAAATCAGGACTTGTTGAATTACATTTGCATAAAAAAAGGAAACATATCAAGCCAGTTTTATTCTCAATAGGACAGGTTCAGAAATGCTAATTAAAATCACACTTATAGTACGTAAGTCTGCCGCCCGATGCGAATGCCTTACGTGCAATTAACATTATCCAGGATTTTTCAATTTAGTTAATTATTTTGGAAATGTGCTTAATAATTACTAACTGACTATACACATTATAATTTTTTATGCCAGCAAAAAACACTTACGAATTTTTAAATTTGTCCAAGGGCGAAGTACAATTTGTAGGTGTGTGTTCGTTTTTCATTTGGTCTCTTAAAAATATGTTTACATTTCTAATTCCATTTCCACTCTTCACTAAAAAATTTTTGAACTTTATTACTGGAAAAAATCATAACAAATTATTTAATAGATAAACATTCCGCAGATGTCATTAGTTCTGGCCTAGATTGAAAAAATACCAAAGATTTTATGCAGTGAAATTGAATGTACTAGTAGTGAAAATATCTTGTATCTTTCACTGCGACTTTTACAAATAATTTTCAAATATCTAATCTTCCAGAAATTATGCCAGCATCCTGCGATCATGCCATCCCAGCCAGCTCCGGCGGATACTACCCTCACTATCCTGAGTCCTACAATTACCAACAACATTACCAAAAAAGCTCCAGGAGTCAACATTATTCCGCTGAGTCAGCGTCGGACCGCGACAACAGCTTCACGCCACGACAACACGACAATCGGGAGCGGCAGTACGAAGTGGCGGGCAAGGAGATGTCTCACATGGGACACGGTAAGAATTTAGGGCAATTTTGGGATATAGGGATATTTTCTGAATTTAGGGTTATTTTAGGATATAGGGGTATTCCGGAATATAGAAAAATTTTGGAATAGAGGGTAATTTTGGAAAACTAGGTATTTTTGAATTTGAGGGTAATTTTAAGAAAAATTTAACGATAGGAATAGTTTTAGATACACCATGGCATTACGAGTTATTATGCATACCTCGCTTTAATTAACGTGTGCGATTGCAAATGCTTTGAAATTTTCCATGCCAAGTATTACATAATGACTACAAGTCGTTATCGTAACTTGATCAAAGTGCAGAAGTGGCCTAGATTTTATTATTTGAAATCTAAATTTGTGTTTAATACATATAAACTATTTCGGAAACGTCAATCTTTGAGTCGTACCTCAAGATTTTGTTCGGAAAATTGTCATTAATTCAGATTTTAAGCTGTCCAGAGATGCTTTAGTACTAAAATAAAAAATTCGCAAAAGCTACGATCGAATTCCCATAATATGAGATATCGGAATGATTCTACATCTGATGTGATTTTTATAAACAATTAATGCTTCATTCCTTTGGAAAATTAATTGATTAATAATTTTTCCAGATTTTATATACCGATAATTCTGAATGAAAACAAATTAATCATTGCCTCTTTATCTTTATAGTCATGGAAAAATTATCATTTCTGATCTTAATATCCTACAAAATGAGTATCCAGTTTCCACGAACAATAATTAAGGAGGAAAATAGCATGTGCTCAATGAGTATGTTAAGAAATTACGGTACAATTACCCTATGGAGTAAAATAGAATACAAAACTTTGCCGCAGGGCATATCGTGACTCTAGCCGAACAATTTCCCAAGGGCTGACCACATCCTGTAATTTGACCACAGAGAAGTTACTCTGGCATGGCGTGCCGGAACTGCCACATGTCAATCATCAAAAATTATTTCACTATTTCGGCCTGCCTATCATACCAATGTTGGTTATTGATAATCATCATATGATACTCAGTACGTCTGCAACTGCTAATCAATTGAAACTTCTTGGAAGCCGCACATGCTTTGGACTCAAGGCGATAAGTGGAAAATTGTCAGGGGTAACTTGAATGATTAATACCATCAAAATATGGGGATATTTTATGGATTGTACATGGATTTATCAGAAGAATTAAGGAGATGACAAACTACGTATATTACTTTTAAATCCATTGATATTTTTATCGGTATTTTAAAATCCAATTTATGGTGCAGAAATCCAAAATTTGTAGATATATGCTATAGTATGTTCCAATATTTCGATTTTATCAATTTTATTATAATTAAAATTTAAATTTACATGACTCATTCCAATCGCACTAAGTGAATAATTAAAAGTTTTCCAAAATTTTTATGATAAAATAACAATTTTAAAGTTTCAAGATATGCGCTGCGAAATTTCTTAATATCAGAAAGCTGGAATAGTTTATATTTGATATATAATTATTGAACATTATTATTTATGTAGAGTTTTACTCATAAAAACATGACCGTGAACTCCGAGCAGAGGTGACGAACGGAGCAGAAGTTTGGGAGAGGCGTTCAGCGGGGCCAAGCTTCGATATGAGCCCACCACGCAACGTCACGGCTCTTAAAGATGCCAACGCATACCTCCACTGCATCGTCTATAACCTGGCCAATAAGACGGTGAGTGTATACCTCCACTGCATCGTCTATAACCTAGCCAATAAGACGGTGAGTGTATACCTCCACTGCATCGTCTATAACCTGGCCAATAAGACGGTGAGTGTATACCTCCACTGCATCGTCTATAACCCCGCCATTAAGACGGTAAGTCTTAACGTATATTATACATATTTTTGTCAATTATTTTAAACAAACAAAAATGCAATCTATTATTGTTTAATTGTTGCATAGAAAAGATGAGGCATAAATATACAAATTCATTTCTCATAGCTTTTCAACGTAGAAGTTAAATTAATTACCTTTCGGGTTAATAAATTATTCTTCAAATTGAGCAACTGTCGTTGATCCGAAGAATACCGTACCTCATCCGTTAGTAAGGGATTAAATATCACAAGGAATGCTCTTCAAAATAATTTATTCTTTTCATGCAGCTGTCGTGGATACGAGAAAAAGACCTTCATATCCTGACAGTGGGCAAGGTGACCTACACTGCCGACAACAGGTTTGAAGTTATACACAAAGATCACTCGAACTCCTGGACACTGAAAATCAATTCCGTCCAGCCACGAGACTCCGGTCGATATGAGTGTCAAGTCAACAGCCACGCTACCGACCCAATCACTTTTGAAGTCGATCTCGCGGTCTTCGGTAAGTGTAACGTTAATAACTTCCTAAAAAACGCAGGGAAATTATTTGATGGAATTATAGAATATGTTCACAGTCTGATTTCTGCAATGTTCGGAATAAATGGGTTGGAGTTTAGTAGTTTATACAAAATTACACAATTTCCAAAAAATGTCCTGACAAGCATTCCAACGAATTTCGTATCTAATTTACATTATGTTCAATTCGTTGATGCTAAAATAAGAAGATTTGTTATATAATCGGCATGTTACCTCAAATGAGTTTTGTTATTTCAAGATAGTTATGTATCGATTTTAAATACTTTTTATGATTCTAATATTTTCTATTGCTTTTCCATTTTCTTTTACTTCACTTGCTCGTTGAACTACAGAAAAGTTATCAGGTTCGGAACAAGATAGACTTCCTTATTATTAGATATTTGCTTAAATGCAATTGAAACGAAATTGCAAATTCCTAACCGAACGAAAACGTTACCGGCTTGAAGCTCAATAGACCTGAATTGTAGGGCATGAAAGGAATTTAAAAGCAAATAAAACTCCTAGAAAAATTACCCTATCTTGAGGTTTCCTTTTCTTTCAATTTTTTGTGAGCATGCGATTTTATCACGCTAATAATATAAGTACTTATGCATCCAAGAAATTTTTTTTACATCACAATAGGAATAAGACATAGATTTCAGAAAAAATTAAGATACATAACCACTTCCTTTGATGGTTAAATATCAAAATACTCTTTAAAAAGAGCCTCGAATGAAAAAAATATAACTACAATAACGGTATTTCTTAAGTTATATTATTATAATATTAACTATTATTGTATAACAACTTCTTCAGTACCAACGGCGCACATCGTGGGGTCCACGGAGCGTTTCGTGGACCGAGGTTCAACCATCAACCTGACTTGCATTATCAACCACAACCCTGATCCTGCCAGCTCAACGTTCTGGTACCACAACAACAGGGTAAGGTTTTAAATTTACAGCAAATAATATAAACAACGTAAGGTGCTTTAAAAATAATAATTAATAGGAATAAAATAATACGTAAGTAATTCGAAATAATAATAAATAATGTAATTAATAGCGGAATTAAGAGCTTATACTCGTAATACAAACATGTTATAATCTTTAATTATCCTATATGATAAAATTATATATTAAATTAAAAATTAAAAGCGCATAATATGAACAAGGTGAGGTATTTAATTATATGTATATGATATAAGCTGAGTAAGGTATCTAATTATGAGTATATAACATAAACAGAGTAAGACCCTAAATTATTAGCATATAAGACAAGTAAGATAAGTTTTTCAATGTAAGCATGTAATGTTGACAGGGTAAGCCCTTGAAATATTGGAATATCATTTAAATAGCATGAGGTTTTTCTTTACACACTGCACATTACGGCTAAAAATTCAGAACCGTGATGCTGAAATTGTCACATCTAACAACAAATAAAAGGCAAATCAGGTTGTAACTGGCATGTAGTATGGTGAGTTTCAGAAGCTGAAACTATATAATCTGTCTTTTTAAACAAATAATTGTGAATGACAATACAAGATTTCTCCGTTAAAAACAATGGAAACAAGCAACTGACTGTGTAATTAATAGCGGAGTTAAGGTGGGATCAAAACTTGAACACAACAGTAAAGTTCGGCGTAAGTAAATTAACACGTGAGAGTTAGAGGCCAAAGTTATATTAAATCATACCTCATAACGGAAGCTATAATAATAAACGACTAGTGGTGTTTGTTCTGAAACCATTAACTACCATTGACATATACAATGAGATCACGACTCCCTGTATTCTTTTATTACGTACATAGTCGCATGATGCGTAGAGATTTATCGTCGATTTAACATAGTCGTACAGATTTATCTCTACTTATTTTAAAGTTCAAGCTGATAAATTTAACTGACAAGATTCTGTTAGCTGGAGATCGATAACTTAACTAATACAATGACACACGAGTTTAATAGTTTATATATCCTATTATAGCTATAAATTTATCATTCAATCAGGCATTATATCGGAAAAAAGTAAAATATCCAATGTAATTGGATATAAAATTAAACTGAATTTATTTGAAGATAATTTAAGTTTTTCTTCTTAAGGCATATTATAACATACAACGTTTATTGAAGAACAAGAACTTTTCATCTTCCTTATGAACGAGTCAAAGATATTTGAACGAAAAATTGAACATGAGTTAGCTTTTGTATATGCGAAAAAGTTGCAGAATTTGATATGATTTATTTTCTCGCCACAGAGGAGTTGCACTTTTCCAGTGTCAAGAATTTATGCGTTTATAAATAAAAGTAAGAGAACAGAACCTGAAAGCTTAAATTTCCAGCAGCAGGTTTGAGTCTCTGAAAATATATTTTATTTACGCGACATAAAGCAAATTCAAAGCAACACTTCTTCTGGGGTGACCTCGTCTCTGAGGTTATAGAATAACACTGGGATATTTATTTCTTTAATGGAGCCTGACATACTGAATGCAAAGCCGTACTATCGTCGTTTGCGCAACATTCCAGAGCATTTAAACCTTTTGAGATTCGTTCATGTAAAGAAATTGTCTTACCAAAAACTTCAGGAAGCTAGAAATTGGCTTCAGGTTTCACTACTTTTATTTTACAACGACCTGGAAAAATCAAACTGGGTCTCGCCGAGCGCTCAACGGACAATATGTTTGGGTTAAGATTTTTGTGTTTGCTGGAAGTGGCTTCTAAATTTTAGAACTGGAGCAACCGTTTATTCTATTGAAGGTGATATTTTTGGTCGATGTAAACTTTTAGGAAATATTTTGCGGGGGCGGCTCACGTTTTTCTGTCGGATTGTCGTTTGCGAACCATCAATCTAAGAATTCTAGTCCTGTGTCCAATCACCAGAAAACGGATCGTTTGCAAGAGTTCTATAAAGAATACGCTTTTTTAGACCCACATCTCTCAAAGTCAATGTTCAATTTACACTGCTTGAAATATATATAGAAAGGTCCTTACCGAATTTTATTCTGCGAAAATTATTCATGCCTGGGCGATCTTTAATCTTACTTATACTTGTATGGAAGGTTTGCTCCTAAAATTATTCAAATCATTAACATGGCAACAATTATCATTTAAATAAGCGTCCAATGATATAGCTTTCAAATGACAAAGAAGTATAATAAAAAATATTTCGTATTCGGGTATTCAATTAAAACTTAATGAAATTTTTCCCGTCAATAATAGTATGTGAGGCTTAAATCCACATGTCTCTATTCTTTAGATCATAAACTACGACAGCCCAGGATCACGAGTTAGCGTCATCACGGATCGTGGCACGTCCACGAAAACGATTCTTTTGATCCACGATGCGTCGAACACGGCGAGCGGGACGTATTCGTGCGCGCCGTCTCCCTCAGCAGCAGCGTCGGTCAAGATTCATATACTGAACGGTATGTTGTGAATATTTTTCTGTTTTTGTTCAAGATATCCTTCGTAAAAATATATGTGATGTAAGTATGAATGAAGTGTGCGAATTTCATGTGAGAAAATTATTTGCCGTTATACTGTAAATTGAAGAATACTTATTAAGATGATGAGAAAAACGTTCAATATTTTTAATTTGTGATTTAAAAGCTTGTCATCGCTACATAATTTCCCTATATATTATTATGAAATTTATGCATTATATATTAGCGAAGTAATATATAATTACCTCAGTATGTATTACGAAGAATTTATAATTAAATTAAAAGAGAATACGTGGGTAATTTATCACACTTGAAATTTTTTCCGGAGGCCAGCCCCGTCATCCGATCAAAAATTACAGAAAACGGATGTAAAAAATTTCTTACAGGGAAATTGACATTGTAAGTACAAAACGAGAATTGACAAAATTACAAAAAAGTAAGTAAAAAATAGCAGCAGAGAAGCCTATGTACGGAAAATTTAATACGGATTTAAGGCAGTACTGAAGTAATATTTACGATGGTTCACGTATTCTATAAATCCCAAATTAGAAGCACGCGAATGAAAACTGAAATTTCAAATTCTCTTCCGGTCACCGACATGTTCTACTGTTTTGTTGTGAATGCCCACAACTGAATGAGGCGGGAGCGCAAGTGGATTGCTAGTACGATTGTCTTTGCCTCGATGCCCAGGCACTCTAATGTAGAATTTGCGTGATACCATGACGACGGATGCAGATGCTCACAAATTTATTTTTACATTGAAGTGAATATGTGACGAGTAATGCGTACTGGTTGATAAAAGTAGAGCATTTCATGAATAACTTTTTCTACCTTTCTGTCATTTTTTTGGCTGCCTGACCGAAGAAATAATTTTAGTCCTTTTGTTCAGACGCAATGGCTTTTTAAGCCATTTGTGTAATTAAACTGAACTTAATTAAAATTATGCTCTTCGAGTGGCTGCTACCTGTGTTGTTAAACTTTCATTCTGTTGATAAGTCACCTTGAACGTTTTCAATAAAATATGGGCGACCTCGTAGGCATTTTCATTGTTAATAATCTTTAATAAAATTTTCTAAGTAGTCTCGATTTCCAAATATTTTTGAATGCTACTTATGGCGAAATTTAAACGTTAGTACTGACCGTTAGTATGAGCTCCTGTTGATCAATTCTTTACTTTAACAGTCTATGTATCGCAACTTGCTCGCCGCATCTACTCTTTATGTAATATCTCCCCTGTGTTTTTTGGTCATACTTTTTTTATAATACGGATGCCATGGATCATTTCGTAATATTTTCTGACTTTTTATCTTTTTACCACACTTTGCATCGATATTATTTCCTTTTTTATCTGCACAATACTTTTAAATTTATTTTTTGTAGGTGAAACGTGATTTTCACACCTTTCCATGTTTTGTGCGTTACCAGCAGGTGAGACGCCAGCCGCTATGCAAACCAACAACGCAAATTCGCACACACGCCGAGAAACGAAGGACTTCTTTCTGCTCCACGCACTTTCATTTTGTACAACATTGGCAGCATTTTTCCTGGTCCTACCTCGTCACGTGGGACTTGAAAATGAATTCCCAGGCCTTTCAAGCAACGATACTGGAAAGCAATACTTAAAATGCCCTGGAACTCTCTTAAAAACAGCACACTCGCATTTCCAGGAATTTTTTAACAGTGCAGATAACTCACGTACTTTTGGCACCGACAGAAAACATTCTAGTAACGACTGTGCTGATGTATCACCTCCGTAGACAGAAACTTTCCGAACAATTGAGGGATCTCAGAGGACTATTTAGCATTAGTAATATTAATGTGATGTTGTACATTGAACAAGTTAGGTTTTAAACAAAGTTTAGTGAATCAATTCTTTTTATGAGGCTTATTAATGGAAAATACTCTACAGAAAACATTTATTGCTCGCCTTAAATTAGTCCGATAATGTGTTAGTTAGGCGCAATTCGACACTCGCTAATTTATAAAAAAATAATATCAATAGAAAATATTGTAGACCCCCAATGACTGTTCATTGATTAAAATTTTTAAAGGAAACTGTCAATTAGTTCTGATGTATCAAAGAAAAATGCGGTAAGGAATTCTTAGAAATAAAATTTTGTGTATATTTACAATGTAAATAGTAAAATGTATGTACCATTAGATGTATGAATAATGTTATTCTTGCATAGCATACAACAAAAGTAAAAACGTTCGATAATCTATGTCTAGCTATTCTCTTGCATTTATCGACTACGTAAACAAATAGACTAGGTCTATGATACAATTTAGAAATATCAAAAATTTTATTTCCCCTAATTTTAGAAAAATACTGACGTATGCATAATTCCCTAATTAACTTCATATTATAATTATATGTTGAATGTTTTAATGTTTGTCCATTAACCATGTTTGGAAACAACTTGTTTGGGCCAATTTTTGGGTTGGATATACTGATAATGATTAAAAATGAGTGTAAATATTACTTACTTCCTCAGGGTGTTTTTTTTAATTCAAGGATGTGAATAGCTATTTAGGGTTCAGATTATTTGCTTAATTCAAGTTTTCTAAAATTAAAAAATATTCAACTTTTGTTGGTTCGGGGCCTTAACTTGAGATGCAAACCAATTCCAGGCAGACCCAATTAGGATTTTCAAACAAGAAAATCATTCGAAATCCAATTTCACAAAATTATTGTCCTTTAATTGCGATTTAAATATATTACACCTATTTTGAAGAAAATAAGAAAAGAATAATTTAATACTAGATAAGATTCAGCACATTAAAAAATTATTTCAAATAAACAATTTCAAATTGCATACAACGGCGCTGGAAAACTATCAAATTTTCCATCAACCGGTAGTGACTTATGAATTTATTTAATTCTCTTCAGTGAACTTTATGTATCAATACTATTTGTGTCACATCCAGGGACACATGTCAACAGTGTGTCCAGGCCTATCTAATAATTTAAATTATAATAAAACCACAAATTAATGCACTTTCATTTCCCTTTGGAACGAAAAGTGTTTGAATTATACCATATAACCTTGATTCATGAGCCCTAATTGAAAAATGAGGCACAGTTTTATTTTTCTATTCACTTCTCTGCATTCTTTCATAGGAGTTCACGAATATACCTACAAACGAATGCACATTATCATGCGGCTCTTTTAAAAAGTTTCACATGCTGTATTAAATTTGCATAATCTCTGCTAATGGGAAGATAATCCAAGCTAAAAAAAAGTATGGATATAACCCAGGGCATTCTACAAATCCTGAATTTTTCACAAACGATGGCTATTCTGCAACAGATTTCATTAGAAAATTTGAGAACCTTTTGTCCGCGTTGGCAGTAAATAAATTGAAATATGGTTATAAAACATAGCAAATAAATATTTATATTTATATTGATGGCAATTATATTTTATATATATATAGCGATAATATAGCAATTTTCATTTTTTCCCCGACTCGACAGAGTGTTTAATAGATAACAACATGCAAACATCCATCTTAACGATGCCTTCGCACGCTAGCCATGATAAACACTGGCTCATTACCGCAACATGAGTTCGTTATTTATAGGAAGAATTTCCATACAAATAATGACGCCTTGCCATGCGATAAATTTCTGCGTATGGGAAATCATTGAATGAAATTCACTTTCTTGATACAGACAATGATTATAGAAAATGAATAAATTGTTATTATAATAAAAAGTTTTTCGATTTAATTTTTTGAAACGTAAATTGATTTATTGTTGTACTTATTGTATTACACGATCATTCTAATATACTCATGATGAACTAAACCGAACGTGAGATAAATTTAAAATGTTATAAATAATTCATATGAAAATTTTACTGGCGTAAATTTCCAAACTCATGGTAAAAATTAATTCGAAATAAATCTGCCTAAAACCATAGAAAAAAATTCACTGGTGTTTAAACGTGCCAATTTACAGATGAAAAAATAATCACATTCACACCATTCAATTTAAATTTAATTCATTCCATATTTAAATCAGCCTAAATTCGCCACTGCAATTCGTCTGAAAAGTTGGCATTTTTTGTCCATTTCTTACTCGCGTTGAATTAAGACTCGAGGCTCGTCACTTGATGCCTTCTGACCGAGGAATGTTTAATTTCAGCAAGAACTTCTTTAAACGCGTAGTGCGGCTACGTCTTTATTGACTTCATACCAACTAAAACACATACTTCTCTATATTGAGACTCTTATTTGTCTCGCGGCCTACAAGTCAAATAACGTCCTCGAGTTCCAGAGGTTGTACAGTGTGCAAAGTTCAGTATATCGCTCCAGAATTAAAACATGCATCAAATTTTTGGCAATATATAATTGAATAGAGAGTCGAACAAAAATGTAAATATTTAATAAGTTTAGCGTTTACAAGTGTCCAATGATTGAAATTTGTAGATAGATAATCGGTGTTGCAGTAAATAATTTATGGGTTGTAAGTTTAAAAATGATTTCTGCGCTTGAAGGGACAGGTTTTGTTCGAGGGTTACTGTTCTCTGATTACACTTGCTAAGGATTATTTATAAAGCATATATAGAACGAAACAAACAACTACACGAAAGTGCGTTTTCCAATGGATGCTAAAAATATAATTCCCACGTTACCTATATATGAATGAACTAAAATTATATTCCACAGATACTGAATAGTTATCTTCCTTGAAATTAAATAATTTTATTGAAGAAAGTAATTAAATGCAATGGATATAAAGGAAAAGTTTAAAAATATATATTTACCGCTTAGAGTCGAACCCGTCCTTGGACAGTCCCAGGGCTGATATCGATTCATGAATATTCTTTGGACAAAGAAAAACGGCGACCATTTAGGTATTCCAACTGGCAGCTAATTCCTGCTTTAAAAATTCCTGACACAAAGCTCGAATATTTAGTAAATTTTTGAAAATTTTCAATTAAATGATGAAAGGTAAGTCATATGCTTACTTGTGGAGTTGTGAAGAATAATGAGGCTATTGATGGGAAGTGATCCTCTGAGAGATTTGACAACCTACAAGTTTGTCAGCTAAAATATGATTGGTACTGAAACAAACTCCGAGTTGGCTTTCAAGAGAAAAATAAATTGGGAGTCAAGTAAGATTAAAACTCATTTCATAAACAGTGAAGTTGGTATTTCATAGCGAATCTCATATGTAGATGTGTTATTTGCACTATATGCAAAATCGCATTTAGTTTTAGTATGAAAAAGTGTTGGAAAAATAGCAACAATTGTAAAGATTTTACATCAGTAAATAGTTTCTAGTAATTCGAAAACATGTAAAATTGTAATGTTGGTTGAGCGATGAATGAAATTTACAAATGCTCTTTCTAATCTCGATCATTTATGCCCCTGAGATAAAAATAATTGCGGGATGTTGTTGTGGGTTAATCAATGCTTCTTCTGGTTAATAAAAAATTTTCGTCATACTCAATTCATTACACTTTATTTTAACATGTAAACTCAATGTGATCTGTGTCAACACAGGTCATCAATTCAATATTAAATTCCAATTGCAAAATTTTCTCGATGTCCCGAGGGAATTTTGAAATTTAAACAGTCACTTTACATAAAATTATATTCGGAACCCGAAATTTAGATAAAAAATAAAACATTGCGATCTGATTAATCAATGATAGTCGAGCAAGAATAATCCTCAGTGTGGTTAGTCTTGAGTTGAAAAATTGATTTGATTGGATCGTATATAGAGCGGCGTGCACTGATTGCATGAATTGAGCCTGATTGCATTCATATTCGCCAGGTTTAATGAATTTAATTTGAATTTGAATGGATGATTATGGTTGAGAGCTTTTGGAATCTCGTTAATTACTGAGGGGATTCACTTCCACAAAAATGAACAGTACTTATTAATAGGGCGTTCATATCTCGGCGAAGTTACATTTCAAGACGATGGAATGGAATGCTAAGGTTAAATAAGCTCAATTTCTATAATTTCTTATATATAATTTAATATCAATGAATAAAATAGTAGTAAATTTTCTAGTAACTGGTATAATGCAAGTAAATAGTAAATACGAAAATGGCAGGTGTGAAATGAGCAAGAAATTTATTGTGAGAAAAGGAGGAAGCACAACACAAAATGTAGGAGCAAGTGACAAGAAAACTGCGAGAAAACTTATGAGACAATAAATGAAGAGCCGCATAATGGAAGAAAAATTACTGTATGGAAGGCAGTGAGAGGAATAGAGCGGCGTAGCACCTGGGACCGACAACGGGAGGTTCCGGGAGGGGAATAATTATTATTCCCGGGAGGTTCCGGGAATAATTCGGGAGGTTCCAAATTATTAAAATAATTTATGGCAGCTGTGAAGAGCTGCGGTATGGGATTCTGTTGCTGCGTTGGGCAGATTCAACAAATAATTAGCCAAACTCAGCTTCTGCATGCATGGTAATGGCGAATTTACGCACATCGGCGTTTACAGCCGTCACATTCATCACACTTGCGGCGAACGTGAAGACCCTCAAGAGCAGGCCAGGAATTGGGAAAAGCAAGAGATATGCTTGCGTTGATTTCTGTCTTACGGCACGAATTTTGAAACGTTTGTAGCACTTCTTATTTTCATTACAGATGATTTTTCGTGCTTAGCACTGAACCATCCAACTTTTACGTGCGCACTATTCTGAAGTATACCAGGTAGATTTTTTAAATTCATTGACCACCGATGAAATTTAGAATAGGTGGATGTTTCCTGTTCGTTTTCCGTACAATAATAATAGAATACTAATGCCGAAATCTTTACAAAAAATCTCCCGTAGGTACAATGTGAATGTATTTAACGCGTTAAATTGTGGTCAGCAGAAAAATTCTGCAATATTTATGCATTAATAAAAGATCATATATGATCAAGAACTATTCGGTGGACATCAACCTATAGGTTAGGTTTCAGGTTATGCCATAAACAGCGATAATTCCACCAACTCCAGAGGATAAGTCGGGGATGTGGCAGCAATAGCGAGCCATGGGCCCACAAATTAACACGTTTTATTTATGAATATTTAGCCATAAGATTTTAATTAGATGATGAATCAATAGTTTTAAATTTCATCAATTAATTTTGTTATCATTATGAGGTTATGGTGACAAGGCAAGCTATTTCGGGAACGAAGTGGGGGAATTTGCTAATATTATTTCAGGCTGATAAAAGAAATAGACAAGACAAATTTGTCCAATCCTTACCCTGCATTACGACTATTATGACCGTATAATTTTCATGGTGTTCAGAAGCATTTATATCCTCCTCCTGTTGTGTACAAGATCATCTCTGCCTCCTGCATCGTCTTTTTTCTGAGCATCATTTTATTATAGCTCAGTTACCGGTAGAATTTACGACACACATATCTTACGGTGCAGTCTACGATAGAATAAGTATTCTGAATAGTCATCGTTAAAATATATGGTAAAGTCCACGGTAAAATTTAGCGTAAGATTCACGGTGAAGTACATAAGGTGGGGTCTTCTTTATAGTTCGAGGCATGGATCATGGTAAAATATTGAATAAAATTCACGGTAGAGTAAACGGTGGATTTTTCTGTATAATCCGGGGCGTAAATCACGGTAAAATACAGTATATGGTAAAGTTCACGGTAAAGTATACGGTGGAGTCTTAAGTAGAGTCTACAGTGAAATCTACGTTGAAATTTTCATCATAGTCTATACGGTAAGGAAAGCC